GATTGAATTTTTTCGAGTGCCTCATTGGGTCAATGATCCTGAGGTAGACGATCTCTCCTCATGAAATTGAAGAGGATGATGGAGCCCCAGAGCAGAATGAGAGACCCATCGACTAGACTCATTGATGCTTATGATTCCAGGTCTCCCTCGTTACATACCGTATCCGCTCGACAATTCTGGAATACATGACAATACATTTACCCAGACACATTTATACCTCAGTGGAACCCTCTCTATTCTTCTAGAAGAGTTCACCTGAGAAAAAAAAACCCTCTACATTTGTCTGGCAGCTCTCTGTAACGAGTTGCCCGAGTGTTCTTGTGGAAAAACAATAAGCCACGTGCTCATTAATTTTTTCCTTTCATTTCCCTCGAGAGTTTCGGTTTTTTATTTTAAAAATCCGTACAATACCTTGAGTTTTATCAACACATCTGGGCACAAAGTGAATAGAATTCCGATATATAGAACCGGGAGGCGGTTTTGTTGGCAATGTGCGGTTTGAAAATTGACGCAGTCAACTCTATATACAACACCCCAGTGTTGATGATAGTGAAATTTATTTCATCCTCCATCGACTACACATATTCCCATCGTCAGGGAAACCACAATAACCGGTAAACTCTCGGTGTACCAACGGATTGTCACATATCGTGTTCATCGAAACTGCTTTTCCCAGCTCTCAGCTATTTCCATCGATCACCCAAATATCGGACAAGCCATTTACATTTCCACTATTTCCAAATGTATACGAGCAAACCTTCATGGCGATGGAGTTACAATTAAACTGGCTAATTCACTCCGTAACAGATAGGGCGGATAGGGCTTTAATTGCTTTCGTTCGATGCTCAGACCGATTTCCAATCTATTCAAATGAATTCAGTGTAAAAAAAAAACCAGAGAAAAAAGTTTTAGTGAGGGTGAGTAATTCCAATTACGAGATTGAATGTTTTTTTCATGATTTTTGCGATAATTCCGGGAGGATTCATGAGGAATTTATCATTGTGGTATTTTTTTTTTCTTTTTTAGGGATT